TGGTGGGAGGAGAGACGTAAAGCAGCATTAATTAAATTTAATGAATTGTGACAGAGTGTTGATTTAAGGCCTGCAGCCGTTGGCATTCTCCGTTTGTAATTGCCAAGTTTTAGCTTTTGCCGTGTGGCAACGTGTCGTATACGTGATGCAGTTTTGTAATTCCCAGCCAATTTGGAGGCCAAGATGCAGCTTTTCATTCCCCCGCATTTTCTTCTCGTTGCTCTTGGTTTAAGTCAAATGCACGTGTTGTTGCCTGATATCCTTACATCCCTCATCCTTTTGCCTCTGCACTTTAAGATCCTGCTGCGGCCACATGGCGTATGAGTAATGTAATTTCGTTGTGACGTCAAGAGGGAAGCTGTCTCTGGCTGTCAATCTACCTCTCTCTCTCTCTCTCTCTGTCTCTCTCTATCTCTCTTTCTTGGTAAAATGGAGCCAACACATGTCCTCGTATGTGTATTTCCCAAATGTCCTCTTCTCTGACGCTTGGCTGCCATGCAAAAACTGAAAATGAGCTATGAAAATTTGTTGCCTGCGGCCTTTTCTGCAGTAGCATTATTCCCAGGACTTTGCCACTCCTGCTCTCTGGGTGGATTCACCGCAAATACACAATGCTCATTGCTTATTTATCAAATATCCACACATTGCCTGCAGTTACTGGCAGGTTCTCCCACCCTCACGACCCTCTTCTCCTTGATTTGTTGAAAGCTGAAAACAACAAGTTTTCTGCAGGGAAAATAATTTTGGGTAAGGTTTGCAAGTAACACCCATTCTAAGAAATGTAATTGTTGATTTTTTTGTACTTTTTAAAATATTTTTAACAAATTTTTGGGGATTTATAGAAATTAAATTGCTATTTTGGCATATACTGGTAACAGAAAGTGATAAATTATGGACAGAAATTTTTGAATTGTTGTTTTTTTCATATTTCTTAGAAGAGTAAAAGTTTAACTAAAAGAAAAATCACTTTTCCCGTATTATACCTTAGAGGGTATTCTAGTTTTAGTCAGAAGCTCGAAATTATGTGAAGGAGTCATTTCCGACCCTATAAGTCATATATATTCTTGATCAGAATCAACAGGGGAATCAATCTAGGCATGTCTGGGAGAAAAATAAATTTTTGAAATTTTTTCGAAATTTGAAAAAAAGATAAGGGGTTACATCATTAAAATTTGCAAAATTCGAAAAAAAATTGAATTTTGTATATTTAAAAACTGAGTATGCAGCTTTGTTAATCTACTAAAAACTAGCATAGAAAAGCTTCCCGACTTGAAATTAATGAACTTTTGGCTTAGTTATGATGTTTGAAAAACTGTGATTTTCGTGGAAAATTGTCTGTTTTTATACCTTTTTGCGGGTTATTATAATTTTAGTCAAAAGCTTTTGTCAGCATCAACAAACGTAGTACGAAGATTTGTTAGCAATTTAAAAACTATTACAGAACAGCTTTCTGAATTAAAATTTATGAATTTTTGTCTTAATTATAATGTTTGAAAAACACTGAATATTTACAAAAATAGCCTGTTTTTATACCTTTTTGCTAGGTATAAGTATTAATCGGAAGCTAATAACACAATAAAGGAATCATTTCCGACCCTATAAATCATATATATTCTTGATCAGAATGAACAGCTAAATCGATCTTGGTATGTCTAGTAAAAGAACAATTTTTCGAAATTTTTTCCAAATTTTTATAAGGGGTTACATCATTAAAATTGTCAAAAATTGGCAAAAATTTTAATTTTACAAAATGGTAAATTTGGTATGCAGATTTATTAAGCCAATAAAAACTAGCAAAGTAACCTTTTCCAAATTAAAATTAATGCATTTTTGGCTTAGCTATGAGATTTTGAAATATAGATTTATAAACTTTGGTAACCTTGCAAAGTAATTTAGTAATTATTTTCTCTCTGTGTACCTGCCATTTTGCGATTGTGTGGGTTCGCCGCGCAATTAGTTGGCGGCTGCATAACGAATTGTTCGCTGTCTGGTGAATATATTCCCCTCGCATTTGATTTTCCGGGGCGATGGTTGAATTATAAATAAATCTTCGCATTACGTTTAACATGAATTCAAATCCCGTGTGACGTCACCGTGTCGCCCACACACACACATGAAAACCAAAAATAAACTTTATTGCGTGAGTGGAAATCATATTTGTGGCAGGCAAAACTTTAATTAACTTGGCCAGGCAGCATCTCTTTGAAAATCACATTTGGCATTAATTTTAAATAATTTATTTTGCAGAACTTGACCTTGAAGTAAAGTGAAGTTAAGTTAAGGACTTTGTGTCCTGTCTGATAAACCAAACAATTTTCTTTGACTTCTTCTGCTCTCTCCCCCCGAAGGACTTTCATTGTAATTGCAGGCGCGGCGCACCAAGGATAATTGATTAGAGTTTTGCTTCAAGTGTCGGTTCTGGCCAAGCGTTGGAATGGGGCTAATGATTTTAGCCATGTTTGCGTCTGTCTCTCTCTCTGTGTGTGTGTTTGCTAATTAGAGGCCAAACTTTCTGCTTAATTAATGTCATTAGTGTGCGCATTGTTCCCTTTTCAGATAAGGGGGAAATTCAGTTTTCGGTGAAAATGAGTCAAGAGAGATTCCAGGAAAGAGAATGAGAGAAAGAGGAGAGGCCAAGGAAAACTTTAGCCTAAGAAATGAAACTCCCTGGAGATTTGCCCCAAGAGATTAGGCCAAAATTAGGTGTATTTTCTGTGTGTGGGCTGCTTTTCATCAGATATAAACGAGAGATATACTCACTTTTGTGTTTAAATTTTGCAGCCTCTGACAGGTCTCTAATTGATAAATTACCCAGATACAGAGTAAGAGTCAGAGCCAGAGCCCAGACTCGAAACATTTTATCTCCATTTGCATAATTGATTGTGCATTTTAATTGGTTTTCATTTAGCCAACATTAGTTTCCATTTTGTGTACATTGCCGTCATAGAGAATGCAATAAATAAACACAAACAACGTATGTCAAAGTCAGGGCTTTTTACTGCGGTCTTTCATTTTGACAGCAGACATCACAGATTTTTTTGTGGATTTTTTTTTTGCTGTACTTTTTTTGTTTTGAACTTGAGGCGAAAAAGAATTTCATTACTTCAGGCGTCAAACAAAACACAAAAAAAAGAGCGAGAGGAGATATTTTTGTGTTTAAAGCAGAAAAAAAACATATTTAGGCAAACACGTCAAGTCTTTTTGGTGGCTGGCATTTAGCCAAAGGAATTTGTATCTGTTTTGAATAGTTTGCCGAGGTGCTGACGATTGCCACGCCTCTGGTTTTTATATAGATATAGATGTCTTTGCAAAGGGAAAATATTTCATAAAATTCTGGAGAGAATATTAAAGATTGAATCAAATGAATGAAAGTTTTACTTTGGTTATTTAATAAAGATCAAGTTCTTGGATTAACTTCTTATAAGCATTTTGTAGAAACAGTTTTCAAGGGGTACAAATCTTTCCCTTTACCTTAAATATTATAATGAACTTCTTCATTATTAATAATTTATCGTAAACAGTCTTTAGTATAAATGAATTTAATTTAATTTAAGACCTTAATATAATACGCCCGCTGTGTAGAAAATTTCAATCATTAAGTCGTGCTATAAGCAGATTACTTTTACTTTTCTGCTATTTAATTGTATCAATTATTAAACTAATTAATTTCCAAATATTTCCCAACTTTTTTTAGTTCCAAATCCCTTTCAAAAATTTCTCTTTCTGTACATCAATTTGTGCTGCGTATTTCGAGACTCTTTGATATTTATTTACGTGCTATTAACAAGCGATACTGGTATGCAATACTCACAGCACTATTTTTGATATCTATAAACTGAAAAATTCTTTCCCTGCACATTTTCATTTAATATTCAATGAATTATTCACTGTACGGTGCTGCGGTTTGTTTATGCCACGCAACTTGTTGAAAAATGGGAATTAATTTGCTGGTCTTTGGGTCTGGCAATTAATCGCGTGATGGCTATATGGGCGATAGATATATATTTTCATTTAGTGCGCACCGGATTTTCCTCTTTGACTGCGACGGCTGTCTGTCAAACCGATCAGTGTTTTGGAATTTTCTTTGCTTTAATTGCTTTTGTAAGCGATCTTGTCGCCTTGTCTATTAAGAGGTTGGAATTTTAATTGCTAGGCACCCGAAGAATATCTTTGCTAATAGTCAGAAAATAAGATATTTTCTTGGGATGATGGGATAATGTCTAAAAATATATATTTGGGACTCGGGCGTAATTTCCGGTTGGACTGTGGCTTGTTTTTTTCACCACATTATCGCACACACTCTGTCTCTCTCTCTCTCTCTCTTGTGGTATTACCTTTTCCCACTTAAATTTAACAAGGAAATAATGCGCATACGCCGTGTCAGCCCGAGGGAGCAGGGGAAAGTCCTTGCCGCAATTTGACCCAAACCGCTTTTGCCCGACAGAAGAGTTGGCAGCGCGCTTAAGCCTTTAACAACAATTAAAAATATTACCCTCGTGCAGTGAGAAAATGAACACGAGTGGAAAAGTGCAGGGACATGTTGTGCACTCAAAGGAAACGTAGTCATTTCTGCTACATTTTATAATAAATTATAGAATTTTTCCTTTATTGGAAATACATTTGGAACAAAGCCAAATATTTTTGTATCTTAACAGAAATATCTATACTAAATAAATATATATTAATTATACTTGATGAGATAATTTAAAAGGGAAAAGCTTGTGGTATATTTCCCACATTTATAAGACTTTTTGCCCAGTGTAAGTGAGAGCTTTGTGGCCACTCAAGTGGTTTACAGGAACAGCTGCCCGGCAGCCAATTTTGCAGACTGCCCAAAGGACGAAGCCTGTCCTGGCACACGACAATTAAAGTAAAAGCTTGTCAAGCACACACACACACACACACACTACTAACTGCCAAGTGGATAGTTCTTTAAACATAAATTAGTGCTCTTTTGACTCATTATTTTATTTTATTTTACTCTTACTCTTCCCTCACAGAACCAAGAAAAGACAAGACTGATGCACAACAACAGCAGCAACAACACGGAGGCAATGGCACAATATCCACGCCCAATCTTGAGCAGCCCACCATCCAGGGTTCCATGTTGCCACCACCAGGTGGCGGCGGCGGCAGTGGGCACCATCAGGTGGATGGGAAAATGGAGCGACCGAATACCTTGTCGGGAGCCAACAAGCTGACCCGTCGTGGAGTCAACATTTGCTATCACAACGAGCACATGTGTAAGTCGGCAAATGGGAGGGGAATTAGGACACCATTAAGAAGCTAGTTTTCTATAAATCATTAGAAAATAAGGCGATTGAGAAGTGGAAAAGAAAAGGAAACTGATTTTGCCAAGCAAATGGTATTTCTGAAGAGAGTTAATACTTATTATGAAGGAAAAACTGTATTATTGTTACAGAAAATTAAATAACTTACTAAGAATTAATTATAGAGTGAAATTTTGAATTTCTTTATCTAAAATTTGTATTGCACTTAATTTATCACTGTTTTAAGTGATATAAAGTATCAAAATTTACACAACATTTTAATACAATTTATTAAAAGAAATACTATTTTTAATAATGTGAGTAAAGAGTAATAGAGTAAAGTAAGAGTCTAGTAAGACTGGAAAATAATATATCTAAATGAAAAGGTCTTATACTATGACTTTTTTGTATTCAAAATATTTTATAACCTTCTCAAACAGACTTTTTAAAGTGATATAAAATCATTAGCCCCTTTTTAAGGAATCCAAAAATGTGCTAATGAATTAAAACAAAATTTTAACTACTTTTACAAGTTTTGTAATGATTTATCTTGAAGAATGAACCATTATTTAGTATAACTATTAAGATTAGGATATAATTCCCAATAAAATCAGTTTCCTTTTCTACTCTCAAACACCTTTAAACAAAAGCACAAACACACCCAAAACAGTCACTTTCACCCAAGCACAACACTTTCACTCACACACACACATTGGCTAGACGCGAACAAGAGCTGCTCTCACTCACTATGTGTCTCTCTCTCTTTCCATCTCTCTCTGTCTTTTCTGTTTCTATCTCTCTCTCTATATTTTATATCTATCTCTATCTGCCTGCTCCCTTTACCGCTTGAAACACTGATGATACCGCTGAATATACCAACACCTAAAATATTGATTAACGATATAAAAAAAAACACCGAAATTAAATCCTAAATAGATGGCGAAGATGGTAAAATGGTGGGCGGTCCGCCGGGCAGCACACCGCCTCCATATCCAGGTGGTAAACTGCCGCCGGGCGTTATGCTCAGCGAGCTGCCAGAGCCACCGATTCCACTGTCGGAGATCGGACCGATCCCACCGCCACCGATGTTCTCCACGCCGAGCCCCACGCTCATCGCTGGACGACCGCATGGGCCAGGCGCCGTTAATGATCAGGATTACCAGCAGGACTACGACTACGATGGTAATTCCCATACCTAAAAAAATCCCCTAAAGAAAATCCCTCCCACCTATCCAGAAGAACCCAAGGAACCCCACCTTTTAGGCTAGCTAAAACCCTCAGCTCATTAACAAAAACGCGCACTTCATAATGTATGCTAGTTAATGGGAATGTTGATATTTAGTTGATGTTTTGATTCATTTTTGGGTATTTTGTTATTGATAGTAAAGCTAAAACTGAACCAATTAATAACTATTTATATCTTTTTAAGTGAATTTAAAGACAAGACTAAAGCTTAAAGATATATTTCTAAATAAATTTAACTTAGGGATGTTTTATGATGTTTTTATAATGAAAATCTAGCACAAAATAATATAAATTATTAACTTTTACGTACTGCCCTACCAAAATAATTGCCTTAACTGAATATCAACTTCCCAAAAGACCTGTCTCTATGTCCTTGTCCCTGTAACCTCAAGCCCTAAAGCATGTCTTTGAAGTTTACCTGAACCCCCCACTCATTCCATATATCCTTATCCTCTCTACAGATCACGATCCGGATCAGGATGAGCTCGACTCGGATGATGAGTACGCCCCATATGGTGGCAACCATGTGCGCATGATGGATACACAGCGCGTCGAGGAAATTCCAGCCAAAGAGCCAAAACCAAATGCAGTTCCTCTCAAATCGGCGCTGAAGAAAAAGGGCGGCATTCTGCCCGCTTCCGCTTCCACGCCGGTGACGCCCACGCAGGAGCATGGCGCCGGAAGTGCGGCCACAGCGGCAGCCATTTCCAATAGTAATGGTGGCATCGGATCCATGGCGGCGGCCGCTGCAGCAGCGGCACAACAACAATCGGCCAACCAGCGACCGCTGGTGGTGCGTCAGGATGCGGCAGGCAACAACTATTCGCTCAAGTGAGTAGGATATGGAAATCCAAAGGATTCCAAAGGAACAATGCTTTCTAGGCTAAAACAAGGATGTTTTTTGAGGGTTTTTACGTAGGTCTAAAGTAATCAAAAGAGTTTAAAAAGGTTTAAAACCAATTATTTGTTTACTTTTTCAAGCTAACAAAAGGTTTTTAAACTAAATATAAATACTGATGCTTTATTATTTAAAAGCAAAAAATTTTAGTAACATTTAAAAGATAAAAACAAGAAAAGAAAATAATTTCAGGAAATCAAAGTTTAAAAATCTCATAACTTAGCTAAAAAAGCATTAATTTTAATTCGGCAAGCTTTCCCATGTTAGTTTTTACAAGGTTAACAAATCTGTATACGCAATTAAAAATTTTAGAAAATTCAAATTTTTGACAATTTTAATGATGTAACCCCTTATAAAATTTTAAAAATTTCTAAAATTTTGAAAAAATTAAATTTTTGTCAGGCAAAGCTAGATCGATTTGGCTTTTAATTCTGATCAAGAATAAATATGATTTATAGGGTCGGAAATGATTCCTTCACTGAATTACAAGCTTCTGACTAAAATGTTAATGCCTTGCAAGCAACGATTTCTTTTTTTGAATACTTTAAAGATTCAAATAAATAAATGAAAGATAAAAAAACCAATAATACGCATAACGACTTCCTTGTTTTACCTTAAACAGCATTGTTCCACCTTTTTAAGTAGCAAAACTTTTGTATCGTTTTACTTAATTCCCAGTTGATGAATCCTTACAACCCTCAACAACCTTTCCACACGTTATTTTGGTAGTTTTTTCTTTCTAAACAAAAAACAAAAAAACACCCAACTAAAGTTTGCCCAGAGAGTTGCGTTTGTCTCTCTAGTTTAATCTCAACTTTTTTCTATACTGTAAAAGCGAAGAAAAACTCACCAAAAGATACGATTCGATCTCCCAATTTGTTATGTTTTTTTCTTCTGTTTTATGATTGTTATTTCAACTATTTTCTATAACAAATTTGTTCTCTTTTTTCCTTCTCCCCGTCTGCCCCCTCGAACCTGTGTTTGTTCTATATATATATTTCATATATACGATTTCGAATCGATTCGTTTTGTGTGTGCGTGTCGAACAACAACAACAACAAAACTCCCCCCACTTCTATATCTACTACTACTACTACTACTATCTCAACTAAACAACAACAAATATTGAACAATAAAATATCGAATATCAGGCCAATACTACGACCACGGATTAGACTATGGTAAACAACAATTTTTAGCTAATTTATTTGTAATGTGAAATCATGAAAGCCCGAAGCAAAAACCAAAACAAAAATTGTATGCAAAATGCTTTTAGTGCATCCCAAAAGATATATATCGCTCTCACTCTCTTAGTCCCTAACTGTTGTTATATAACACTACCCCTTCAGTCCTTTCAAAGTAATCCTCTCACAAAATCCAAACAAAACAAAACAAAACAATATAAAAAATCTTTTCTCATTGTATCCTTGCACTTTGGCTGCACTCTAACACACACTCTCTCTCTCTCATCCGTCTGTATTTTAGTTCCAGTTTCTGTTTTATTTTTTGAGTAAATAAAACTGAAACTTTTACAACACTGGTATAGTGCTTAAACACACACACACCCACGCAGACACTCAAGCAATCACCAACACTACGTCAAGGCACACTTTCCTTATTAAATTACTAACTTTTTTTGTGCGATTTTCGTTGTTTTGTGTAATATGTTTTTTTTTTTTGTTTGCATTGTCTTTATACCCTTGCAGAAAGTTTAAAGGATTTAAGGTGGTATTTTTGTGGAAGAGTAAGGTGAAGTTTAATTAGAAGCTCTGTTCTGTTTCAATGTAAATTATAAAGGCAGTTTTTTAAAACATAAATATATTAAGCAAGGGTATTTAAAGATTCTTTATAGTTTCTCTTATGTATTTAATTTATTTTTCTCCATCACAACACTCGAATCCTCTTCATATATATAAATATGTATGTGTGTGTATATAGCTGTGTGAGTGTAAAAAAGTGTGTAGATTTTCCTTTTCATAAAAAGTTTCTTTGTCTTTTTCTTGCTGCTATATATACTGTTTTATTCCCTCTGAATCTTGCATGTTTCATTTCAAACAGGAATTTGTTTCAAATTTCAATTCCCCCACCGACAAAACACACACATTTTTTTCTCTCCAAGGAATATCTGCCAGTTTTAATTTGATATTTCCCACATTCGAAATATGCAGGAAGAAGCGAACAAAAAAAGAAGGTAGGAAACGAAATGAGTTTTCCGGCGCTCTGTTTAGGTCAAGTTTTTTTCATTAAGGAAAGTTTGCCCTAAATTTGTCCAGAGGCCAAATGAAAACTTCAAGTGTGTATCTTAAAATTGAAAGTGAAATTGAAATTTGAAATTGAGGGAAGCACAAAGACAGGCTTCACTCCACATAAACCATTTTCCTTGACTGATATGCCCAACAATTTATGCAGTTTATAAAGCACTAAAAATAAAAAAAAAAAAAACCGAAATATGTAAATTGGCTAAGAGCTGAGGTGCAGCAAAACTGAAGCTCAGAATGCAAAACGTGCCTGGGAAAAAGGCGATTTCCTGTTGTTGTGCCTTCAATATCTAACCATCTGAACATATCCATCTATCTTTCTATCTATATATCTTTCCATCTTTCTATCCTTTCCTCGTAAAGTGCGAGAGTGTGCTGAATTTATGTTTATATGGCACTATGAAGCCATTTCGATGGAGGTTAAATCGCTTGAAATGGGAAGGCAAAAATGGCGAACGAAAGCAGGAAGTCTAGGAAAATATACAGGAAACAGAGCGGAAGTAAACATATCTGCAAGGGAATTTTTGTACTTTATTAAATATAATGTTCAAGAGATTAAAAGGTAGAAAGCTTAAGGAATTGAGTGAAATGATTAGATTAAAAGCAGCTTATGTTACCTTTAAATTTAAAAAGAAACCCTTGGAAAAAATCCTCCTTTTCCTAGAAAAAGAAAGCTGAGAATTGTTATAATCTTTGCAACTCAGAAAAAAAGTAACTTCCTGCCTGGCATTTCCAGTCGACTTCCTCGGAGACAGTTGCTTCCCCAAAAACTATAGTACTTCCCCAAGGGTATGCGCCCAGTGTCACTCATACGCCGTGTGGTCCCCACATACACTATACTATATACTCTTTGTTCAGTTTTTATCCAATCGTGTTTTGCATTAACGCCCCGAAAGTGCGGCGGAAGCAGCCGACAGGATATAAAGGATATGGCATTCGAGGCAAGCTTCAAGCTTTAAGTACAAAGTCAAACACATCTGTGCATATATATATATATATGTGCATGTGTTTTGCATATTATTTGCCACAGTGTGTGTTTGTCTGTCTGTGTGTCCATGTGTGTGTGTGTGTGTGCCAGATGTGCACTCCACGTGCCATTTACAAAAAAAAAGAGGAGAAAGAGGAAAAAAGAAAAGCGGGAAAAGCGAAACTGCCGCAGCAGCAAAAGAAAAATAAAGAGGTGGAAAAAAGCATTTTTCTTTTTCCTTTTGCTTCCTTTTCTTTTTTAGGTGACAAAACTTAAAGGACAAAAAAGAATTGAAGGGAATAGATACAGTTGTGGCTGGATTTTTAGACTTGGGGATTTAAGGTTTTTTTAAAAAGTGAAATAAGAAATTAAATCAGGGAAAAATAGTTACAAGTAAAGAATAGGTTTATAAGTCATTTAAGATCGTACAATAATACATATTTTAAGAAGTTCAAATTAGAAAAATAAAGCAGTCTTAGGCTTCTTTTTGAAACCTCTTAAATTTCTTTGATAAATTCTTTGTGACTCATACTCAAAAGTCATCTCATTTAATAGTATCTCATAAATTTCAAGAATAATAACAATTTAATAGTACAATAAATCCACAAAAACAAAACACATTTTGAAATGTCCTCAAATATATTGGATGCTCAAAATTCCGCGCTATATGATTCGCACTGCAAAGTGTATAGGTGCAAAGATAAAGGTAAAGAGGCATGAATAAATCCTACACATGCAGGGATATTTATGCACGAGAGAAGCTGCCAGAAATCTGGCAGATTGCCCTGGCCAAGATTTTGGATGGAAGGGATGTGGGATGAAGGCTTTTGCAGGAGAGGATTTTCGGAGGAGAAGGAGGAGGAGGGTTTTTTGGCTTGAGATGCATGCATGAGCAGTCAGCCCACCCTCCTCCTTAGTCATTGTTGTTAGTTAGTTAGTTAGTCGCTGTTGTTGTGGGTTGTTTTCTATGTGTCTCTGTGTATGTGTTTATTGTATACAAGTAGAATATTTAATGTTTAATGCGAGATATGTGAATGACATAATGATAATGATGATGATAATGTGCTAATGTTTCCTTCTTGAATGCTTAACCCACAGCAGGCAGCAAATGTTCAACATCCAATTGCCGTGCACCGTGGAGAATAAGGAGAACACACGACCCTTTGTGATACGTGAGAGTAGCAGTGATAGCGATGAGAGCGATGGTCATATTGTCTATCGGGATGATGATAACGATAACACCCGACTGGCGAAGCTGGCGCGAAAGGAGTCGCTGTCCTTGAAGCTGCAATTGCGACCCGATAAGCAGGATCTGATCAATAGGAATATCCTGCATCAGGTCACCGACAACGAGCTCAAGGAGTCCAAGGAGGCAATCGGAGCACGTCTCATACGCAGGCTGTCCATGCGACCCACGGCCGAGGAGCTGGTCGAGCGCAATATCTTGAAAAGTGAGTTCACCTCTTCAATCATTTATCAATTATATTAATTATATTTCGTATTTCTAAAAGCTCAATCACCCGCCGAGGAGAAGAAGCAAAAGGAGGAGAAAAAGTCGTATCTATTGCGCAAACTCAGCTTTCGACCCACTGTAGAGGAGCTGAAGGAGAAGAAGATCATTCGATTCAACGACTATATAGAGGTGACGCAGGCCCACGACTATGATCGCAGGGCGGACAAGCCGTGGACAAGACTGACGCCAAAGGACAAGGCCGCCATTCGCAAGGAGCTGAACGAGTTCAAGTCCTCCGAAATGGCCGTCCACGAGGGCAGTCGGCATCTGACGAGGTAAATTTGAATGAAAAGCTAAAGAAACTATTCTCAGGCAACGGAAAATATATAATATATATTTTGTAAATGGTATTTCATCAATTATTTATTGATTTCAATTAGAGTTACAAATTTTCACACTTGTAATTGAATATTTTTGTGCATAAACAAATGAAAAACGAGTGGAATAATGTGCTTGCATACAAATTTGACATGGACACGAATTGAAATTGGGGGAAATTCAATTAAAGCAGAAATCATGTTACGTTCAATAAATAATTTCTGCTCGTAAATTCCATTAACACATCACACTTATTTTTGTGATTTTAAATGTTGATATATGTATATTCATCAATAAATTCCCTTCACTTTCCCCAAAATCAGAGCTTTAAAAAACCATTAATACTTCGTTGAATCAGAGACTTTCAGTGAGCTTAGTTTACCTATAAATCGAGGAACCTTCCTCCACAGGGTATCTAAGCCTTCGGTGGCCAAGGATAAGCTCTTTCTCGTCCTAACTGGTTTTTTGCAAATTGCTCTCGTGGGAGGTGGGCTGAGTGAGTGAGTGAGAGGAGTGGTGGTGCTGAGAGGTGGTCCATGGGCGGATTCTGGGGCCAAAGCAATCTCGCAATTGAGAGACATATCCCTCTGTGTGTGGTGCTGTGGCGGCCCCTGAATTATGTAGCGGGCGTGTCCTTGCGGCCAAATCGAATGGCCACAAAGTGAGCCAAGCAAAAAATTGCCAATGCCAATGGCCAGTGAAGTGTCACGTGCAGTTTTGCCATCCCATCAAGCCCCTCTGTTCAGTCCAGTCCAGTTTACGTTCCTTACAAATGTATTTTGGCGATATGCAGTCACAAAGGACTCGGCGGATGGCGGCTAGCTTTTTTTCCTATTTCTATTTCCATTGCAGTTTCTGGCAGAGTTTATTTTTCTTTCCGGGCCCTTTTTTTCCGTTGTTTGTTTTGTGGTCGAGGGAGTGTGTAATGGCTTTTGGATTTTGTGAGGCTGCTGCACTTTATTTTTAAAGCGTTAAATTAAAAAACTTTGGGAGTTTATTTGAAGTTTGGGGAAGGGGAGAGATTCTAATATGAGGAGAGATTCGGAAATGTATTTAGCTATATTTCGAGCTTTAATAAACATACTTTCGATTTAAAAACAATATTTATTTAGTCTTTAATCGATTTGTATATATATAATCGATTTGTATATTCGTAAGTTGTGTTTATTTTCATTAAAAAAGTCAAAAGAATTGAAAGAACTTTGAAGGATTATATTATTTTGAAGTTAAATAAGAAATATACAGGCTTCTTTTTTATATTCTTTCAGGGTATTCTAATTTCAGTCTAAAGCAAGAAACTCAGACCCTATAAATCATATATATTCTTGATCAGAATCATCAGGACAATCGATCTACACATGTCTGGGAGAAAAATAAATTTTTGAAATTTTTTCGAAATTTGAAAAAATGATAAGGGGTTACATCATTAAAATTGTCAAAATTTGCCCAAAAATTGAATTTTTTAAATTCAAAAACTGAGTATGCAGATTTGTTAGCGCTATAAAAATTAGCACAGAACCGCTTTCCGAATTGAAATTAATGCATTTTTGGCTTAATTATGATGTTTGAAAAACATTGATTATTTAATAAAATTGCCTGTTTTTATACCATTTTTCAGGTTATTCAATTTTTAGTCAGAATCTTTTAACAGCATCAGCAAACGCTGTACGCAGATTTGTTGGCGATTTAAAAACTAGCACAGAACAGCTTTCCGAATTGGAATTTATGCATTTTTGGCTGAATTATGATATTTGGAAAACACTGATTATTTTAAAAAATTGCCTGTTTTTATACCTTTTTGTAGAGTATTAGTATTAATCAGAAGCTTATAACACAATGAAGAAATCATTTCCGACCCTATAAATCATATATATTCTTGATCAGAATCGGCACGAGAATCGATTTAGACATGTTTGGGAGAAAAATAAATTTTTGAGATTTTTTCGAAATTTGAAAAAATGATAAGGGGTTACATCATTAAAATTGTCAAAAATTAATAAAAATTTGATATTCTTATTTTGCTTAATTTAGTATGCAGATCTGTTAACATAATAAAATCTGCCACAGAAATGTATTCCGCATTGAAATTAAGGCTTTTTTGGCTTAGTTATGAGTTTTTTAAAATATGATTTTTTGACAAAATTGTCTGTTTTTATACCTTTTTGCGGGTTATTATAATTTTAATCGGAAGTTTTTAACAGTATCAACAAACGCAGTATGCAGATTTGTTAGCAATTAAAAAACTATCACAGAACAGCTTTTTGAATTGAAATTAATGCATTTTTGGCTGAATTATGATATTTGGAAAACACTGATTATTTAAAAAAACTGCCTGTTTTTATACCTTTTTGCAGGGTATTAGTAATAATCAGAAGCTTATAACACAATGAAGGAATCATTTCCGACCCTATAAACCATATATATTCGTGATCAGCATCAAAAGCCGAGTCGATCTAGCCATGTCAGGTCAAAAAACAAATTTTTGAAAATTTTTCGAAAATTATAAATTTTATAAGGGGTTACATCATTAAAATTTGCAAAATTTGACAAAAAATTGATTTTTTTTAAATTTAAAATTGAGTATGCAGATTTATTAACTTAACAAAAACTTACAAAGAAATGCTTTCCAAAGTGAATTTAGAGCATTTTTGGCCAAGTTATGAGTATTTTAAATTTTGATTTGTTGTAAAATTGTCATATAAAAGTATGAATTATAATAATGCGAACTCGGTTTCCTTTCTTGTTTCTCTCTATATTTATATATATTCCTTTCTCTCTAAATTAAACAAAATATATATTTTCTATGCTCTCCAAAGACCCAACACAATGTTTTCCCATTAACCAACAAAGTCGAAACAAAAAACTAATCAAAAGTTTTTCCTCTCTTTTGCAGATTCCATAGGCCATGACGATTGCAATGGCAGCAACTTTCCAGCAAATTACAACAGCAACCCAAGCAACAATTGTATTTTATGCAGCATCAAATTGTCAACAAATGTTTAAAAGCAAAAAATTAAGCCAACAGCAAAAACTAAAAGAGAGAGAAAGAACAATTTTCAACTCCAAAAGCAGGCATAGAAATTGCAAAAATAAAACTAAAATCTAAAAACAAATAAAAAAACAAAAAACGAAAAAAAAAATACACAAAAAAATGGAAAAGCAAAAAGGAGACGAAGGAAACTTGAGGGAAGAGAGAAAAAAGAGAGATAGAAAAGGCCACATTCAAGAAAATAATTAATAATTTATATAGGTTTCTGTTGATCATTGCGAGAGTTTTTTAATTTTAAGTCCTTTATGTACCACTCTCTCCTTATTTGTTAATTAATTGTGTGTAAATAAAAAATTCGTTCGATATATCCAAGCCAATTTCACAACGCAAAATCAAAATATCAATTCGTCTTTTGTAGAAATGTTAAGTCGCTTCAGTCAAGGCAATTATGTATTATATTATATAAAAATGAAACCAGCAAGGAGAAAACACATAACGATATTCGATTTAAATTTAAATTAAAAGGCAAATAAGCAAAGCAAAACAAAAATAACAAATATATATATAAACATGGCTGATGCATTAAAGTTTAGGCATTAATTTAAAACTTACTGTTGCTTTCCATAAATTTTTAATTTTTGAATTAAGCCAACTAAAAAAAGAGAAACAAAAACACAACACAGAAACACGAAAATTCGAAACACATTATTATGTTTTACACTTATAATTACATTATTGTAAAAAGCTTAAACGAAAACAAAACAAAAAACAACACATTAAACTTAGAGATCTACCATCTACCACATATATATAAATATATACCGATAATACGGAAAAATAAATTCTAATTTTTCGAAAGACATGTTTTCAAGAAATATAATTTTCAATTGTTAATTATTATTTTTTGTTTCAGCTTGAGTTGAGTTTAGTTAATTGAGTTGAATTTTTCCCCCGAAAAAACACATGTACATACATATCGCCAAAGAAAACTTGCGTAGAAAACTAAAACTTATCGTGGAGAGAAAGAGAGATAGTAGGAGAGGAAAAACCCGCAGAGAAGAGAGAAGGCAATAATGCTCAAGCTGAGAAATGGAGAAATGGAGGAAAACCCAAAAGTAAATTAAACAAAATTCTAATAATAAATGGCAACAAAATATCAGGAAAATTAAACTGAAGCAAGTTGGACCCAGAATGAAGTTTTTTAGAGACGAGAAAATGAAAAAAATTACCCAAAAAAAAAAAAAAATAATAATAAAAAGAAAAGAAAGTAAGAATACATCTTAAGACGTAAGTCACGTAATTTAAAAACTTTTTAGAGACAGAGAACAGAGTTCGGAACCCGATGGAACCATCAGCATCAGTCAGAATAATTTATTTTGTAAAAGAACAGGGATAAAAAGCGGAAACTGAAAAATTTTACTCAAGCATTCCACATAGTAAGCTTAATCAAGGAGAAAATATATATATAATGAAAATTAGCAAACAAAACCAGCAAATTGTACATTTTGAGGCAACAAAAAATGCAAAATGAAAATGCTCGCGCGTGCTCGTGAATATTTAAACTTAAAGAACGTAAAAGTAAACGTAAACAGTAAATGTAAAACTACAACTAAAGTAAAACTAAAAACCATAACGTAACGTAACGTAATGAACTCTGTTTCAAAGGACACTTAGTAAGATACAGATACAGATACAGGCTACAGAGACACAACAGCATATTAAACCAAAACGAAGCAAACTTATTTCGAAAGCAAAAATGAATAAAAGACAAAACATTATTAGTTTAATGATACAGTGGCGCTTCCTTTGCAAGTTTCATATTTCTAAACTGACAGGATCTAAGGGGAAACTCGAAGGAAAATCCCTTTTTAATCCGGAAAAAACCGAAACTGATACTGAAACTGAATCTGAATCTCTCTCTATGTCTGCCTCTTGCTTCAAAGCGTTGCATTGTCAAAAGTTAAGCAATATAAATTGCATATATACATATTAATACAAAATATATATATATACATATATATATATATATATAAATGGGACAGAAGCGGAATAAATAAATTATACATATTTAATGACTATACAAAATGGCAGAATATATGTATATATATTCATTTATGTATACACCTATTTATATGAGATGAAGCAGACGAAGCTGAAGCTATACAACTCTATCAGATATGGGATAGCATAGTTTACACTTTTTCTATGGAGCGATTTATAGTGTACGTCACAATTACACACAGACACAACCAGAACAAGTCTTAGCAACATCAAGAGCAGAAGAATTCTAGGAGAATTCAAGCAGAAGAATTCCAACAGAAGAGCCAAGAGTCGTCGGTTTCGACCCCATTTAAACGAACTCCTTGAACACAAAAATGAAAATTGATTGAAAGAACCGGAAACGGAAACGGAAACGGAAGACCCAAGCTATCTAGAACCGATTTTTCGCATTCAAGCAGGGCGCATTTCCTCCTCGATCCCCACCAGTTTTCATTTCTGCCATTGGTTCTTCCTACTCCCTATTTTTCGACACATCTTTGCCAATTTTTGCCGTTGCCGTTGCAATGTGCAAATCAAAATAATAAATAATAATACAAAAAAGAGAGATCTTTAGCAATAACTAAGAACACCACGAGTATGGGAAAACAATAAGAAAAAAACATTGGAGAAAGTCAAGTTTTTGGGCCAAAACTAAAGGCCACTGAAAGGGAAAAACCACAGAGAAAAGTTGTGAAAATTTGCAAATGCGAAGTAAAAAAGTTAAGTAAAGTAGCGGAATAAGCATAGCGAGAGTTTTGGAACAAGAAAAATGCAGAGAAAAAAACCAAGATCCCATAAAACGAGAGAAAACAAAAAGAAGAAAAAAAAAAAGAAACAAAAAAAGTATTGAATAATAATCACCGACAAATTGAGATTTAATAAAGATTTAATTACTTACAAAATGGAAATTTTGTTATTATTTAAAAAATAAAGCGATTTCAGGAATTTCAGTACTATTTTTTCCAGTAAGAAATATTTCAGAAAACTCATTAGTTATCCCTGCTTACTGGAAACAAAACTGGTTAACTGAGTTAATAATATTATTTAATTCGAAATTTATTCACTACACACACAATACGGACTATCATTCTTAGACAAATTTTTAGAGATAGACTTCATGTTAATAATGTCTTCTTGAAGCATTATCCTTTTTGAAAGATCCTGCTCTGCCATTTTTGATTTATTCCTCATCACTTTCAATATGAAAACGTACCCGCAACTCTTCGACACTGTCATAGCTTTGGATTATATTGGCCACCAGCTGGGTGCCGGTATCCAGGAGTCTCTCCATCTGCAAATAGTTGGCCGCATTGATCATCTGGAAAAGGATTTCGTCCTCGCCGCCAGCCTTTTGGATTAATCGCTTCAGTATATTTAGACGTACGGATACATCGGTGTTATCAGAACAACCATTCATGTATTTACACCACTTTAGCAAAAGTTTCAGAGTCCTGGAATCGATCCTGGGCAGGGGAATCACTTCCGATTTACCGGAGCACTCCAGCATTAGCATTTGGCAAATGGTATCCATTTCCTTCACCAAGGCACTGTCCACGGTATGAAGTTTTCCATCATTTGTCTCCAGTTGCAAGAAAATGGGTGACATTTTTGTGTTTATTTAGAGCGAGAGAGGGAGAATTTCAGAATTTCTGGGTAATGAATTTTCTTTGACTTGTCATAAACTTTTTTAAGTTTACTATATAACATTTGGTTATGGGTTTAAGGTAAGCCCTACAAGTAGGCTTTATAATGTTAGTTTGATTATTAGCAAACGGCTTGCCTACTTTTGTGGGCTGCCTGTACTTTGTATAAATTTTCCCCTTGGCTTTTCCTGCTGCTATGGAGACTTGTGCGAATTTTCCCTCCCCAGTTTCCATTCATATTCCGCCAACGGCATTCATTCATGAATTCCACGCGTTGTTCCTCTGTCATTCTGCACATATTTTACATGCCACGTACCAGAGAGCGAGCTATGTATCTCGGTATCTTTGTATCTTTGTATCTCGGAGTTTTGTTTTTATTTTTTGTGTTTTCTTCTCGACGAATCTGCGTACGTGCCAGACCAAAACTGAAAAGGTGAGATGGAGGTGAGGTGGCGACACCAATCACAATCATCATAAGACCAACGCCATCGCCATTCCATTCCATTCCATTGGATTATGATGAGCAGACGCTCTCCTCTGGATCTTTTCGAGTGCTTCTTTCTTTCCTACTTTATTTTCTTTATTTTTTACTCGCGAAAGTTTTATCGTTGCGGCGAGATTCTAACATTTTTGTGTGCATTCCACTTTGGTGCGTTCGCGTTCCCTCGGATTTCTCAAGAGTTTTTCGCTCATAAAACGTACTCGCACTCATTAAAACGCGCACTCTGATAACTGAGATGGCCAAAAACAAAAATGTACAAAAAAAGAAAAGCAAATTGGACACCGCTTGACTGCTGGATGGAAGATGGTTTACACGGGGGGAAAATATTTCATGCTTTTAGATTGTACAAATCAAGCAATGAAGAAGTATTCATTTAATACAAAACCTAACCTAACCAAACCTATCGTTCTATTAATTTTATAATATTAATTTCATTGTGATATTGTTAAAAATATCACATGTTCATTTAATGATATAAACATCTTAATAATAACCTTGTTTAAATTGATCAGAAAAGATGATCATGTTTTTAGAACTTCATTTGGTTCATGTTTCATAAATCTACATATTTCTTTATTCAGATTTTATATCATTTAATGAAGTATTTCATATTTGAACTGATTTTAAAATGAAATTAATTGATTTAGGGATTAATTTGATGAAGTAATTTCAAGTTAATTATCTAAATTAAAATTATACAAATCAGAATTCCACTTAAAAACAAAAATATAGTAGCAGTGGATATGGTAACAAAAATCTGGTATAATTCCTATTAATATTAAGGATCAATAATATGTGCTTTTCGATCTCATTCTCAACTCTTTAAGCTCTCTAACTAAAACTCTGTATAAATTTTGTAACTCCTACAATTTATTTTCAGTGTAAAAGCCGACGTGTTTGCATGTGCGTCCTGCTGCTGATTTATTTGATGGGCAGTTAGAGATGATGATGTTCTGGGGGAGAGCACGTTGCAGGTTCTCGAAATGGGGCAGCTGGCGGGCCTTAAGCTTTCCAACTCCCAATTAGCCAAGATCAGAGAAATGTCTGTGTGTGTGTGTGTGGGAAAACCAGGGAACCTACATATGTAAATTCTAATACAAAAATTTCCCGCTTTTACCGAAAGATCGAAGGGTAATGAAGAGATCTCGATCCCTCGCCATCAATGTCCCCTTGGCGATTTGCGACTATCAATCCTGGCGTATCTGGACAATCGGTTAACACTTCGGCAGCGATGCCTTACAGTGCCGTCCATTGTTTTGGGTCAGCCTGATCCTTTATTTTTCTCTTTTTTTATTATATTTTATGGGGAGGGGAAAACATTTGCATTTGGCCTGTGTTGGCCAGGTTCGCGACTCCCTGTCCCTGGGCTTTCTTTATGACCCGACTGGCAGTTTGCAGTTTGCAGTTTTCCAGCTTGCTAACTTCTCTTTTTTTTTGTACTCTTTTATATGTAGACATTTTTCACTGTGGCCTTTTGTTTGCCGTTTGGCACAGAGAAAAGTTTATTTGATTCTATTTTCATTTTATTTGAATTGTGCTGTAGAGCGCAGCTTCTTTTATGGCCTCGCCGAGATTTGCTTGTGAAAGTTGGCCAATATCGATGAGAAGGCTCCTCTTCCACCTTTACTGCCTGTTAACTGTTGGATGTTGGTTGTTGATCGGACGACGGTGGTGCTGGTGGTGGTGGTGATTGTAAAACAATAAAAGCAACACCTGACTGCCGTTTGGCCAAGAATGGCGACGACTTTGTTGGTGGCCAAAGCAACAAATGCCGGCTAGATTTTTATCTAACTCTCTCGCCGGTCTTTGTGGTGGCCCCAAACTCTGGCGATGGCCAAAAATGGCCAAAATCCGAAGAAAAAACATGCTTATTGTTTGTAGATTTTCCGCAACGCGTTACCACAAACATTTCAATTGCTGCGTTTGGATGCGTTTTAGCCCGGGTAAAGATCTCAACAACCAAGGCAGAGAAAAATTATAACTACAATTTTAGCAATTGCAGCAATTTGAATCTTAAAAAATCCTTAAAGAAACATATCCCAAATGTTAGTTTTTCTCTGTGAACAAATTACGTTGTGAGGAGTAGGAAACGGGGCTGAGCTAAAAAATTAAATCTAAATCTAAATAAATAAAAATCGTGCACTGTTAAGTGAAAGGCATCGACGACGATCTGTGGCTGTTGCAAATTTAATCAATTGATGAGGCACAGTTGCAAGTTGCAGGTTGCAGGTTGCCGCTTGGCTGGCCCGTTGCTTTTGTTTGTTGTTTGTCGATGGCTGCCAAGCAATTTGGATTTTGTGGCACCAACTGTAGCAGCAGCAGCAACAATAACAACGATCCTTGGCCAGAAAGACATTTACATTCTACCGTTTGGCTGATTGTTGCTGCTGCTGCAGTTACTGTTGCAGCGACACTTGCAGCAGCATCAGCAGCATCAGCTTTGCAGCAGAGCACTCGGAAAAATCAAATAGAAAAGGTAAGCGAAAATAAGCCTTTTTCATTGAAATAAAATTAGATTTTATACAGCAAAGTTAAGAAGGAAAATACATATAAATTAAAACGTAAGTATATTTTATTTCCCTTGCAAGGGAATTCTAATTTTAGTCAGAAGCTTGTAAAGATGTGAAGGAGTCATTTCCGACCCTATAAACCATATATATTCTTGATCAGAATTAACAGCCGAATTGATCTAGTAATGTTTGCTACCAAACAATTTTTTTGAAATTTTTTTCGAAATTTAAAAATTTTCTAAGGGGTTACATCATTAAAATTGTCAAAATTTGACAAAAAATTGAATTTTTTATATTTAAAAACTGAGTATGCAGATTTGTTTAACTGATAAAAGCTAGCATAGAACAGCATTCCGAATTGAAATTAATGCATTTTTGGCTTAGTTATGATATTTGAAAAACTTTGATTTACCCAAAAAATAAGCATATACAAATATTGATTTAATATTCTTAGAATACGCATAATTTAGGTTTTCTTGATGATTCAAAATGGCTTTTCGAAGTAAGTTTCACCTTCTTGTTAAAATGTAGTAAAATTTTAGAAATAATAAAATAATTTCAAGTGTAAACTCAGCCATCCTGCCACCGCCGCACACTTTACACGCTAGAAACCGTGACTTTAATTTTCTTTTTTCCCTCCCTCCTCTCTCTGGCCGTGTGTCTCCACTCCCCCTTAAAAAAAAAACGCAAGCTTTTTGATTTGTTTTCCCCCTCGTTTTCTAATTTTTTTGTTTTGTTTTTTGTTGTGTGCCATTTTATATAATTTCAAAATTCGTTTCCCAATGGCCGCGCGCTTTTCATTAAATCGCCTCGCAATGTCGCCAATAGTTTTTTGTCTGCAACCATTTGGCTGGCAATGGCTTTAATTTGTAATTACATTGCACACTTTACTTTCGTTTGTCCGGCTTTGATTTATGGCCCAAAGAAATAAGCGTCCAAATTGCTAAATGGCAGGAATTGGCCAAAATGGAATCGTGAGTGAAGCTCCACAGCGAGCTTGTCAAATTAAGTCGAGGCCTTCAGGTGATCGTAAAAGGAAGATTCTGTGGTTCAAAGCTTTTCTTTCTCTTGAATTTATATATCTTTCTAATTTCTTGGTTATGCTTTCATTTTATAAATAAATATCATTAAGTTGTCATTTGATTTTGGTAACTATTACCCTATATTTTGATACTTTTGTGGCAGCATTTTCCCTTTCTTTAAAGTGTCATAAATAGTTGTTACCTGTTCTGCTGTCTTTGCTATCAATAAATAAGCTCATTAACTTTATAGAAAATATGTTGCTGTTGCCGTTGTCGTTTCACTTGACACTAGCCGTTGCAGTGGCCGCTGCAGTTCCTGTTGCAGCAACACGCAATAACAGCAACTCAACAACAACACCCACTCGCAATTTCAAGTTGCAGGCAAGTGACATACACACACACGGGAAATGTGCAACAATTTCAAATCGCTTCTATTGACAACTGCAACAGCAGCAGCAGCAGCAGCAGCAAGTTGTGCAGCAGCAGCAGCAGCAACTGCAACATCAGCAGCATCAGCACATGTTGCTGCAACATGGGGCAGACCCATTGATTAGGTGACGCTTGTTGTGGTCGCCGCCTGTCCTCTCCCCTTGTTTGCTGTTGTCTTGTGTCTTGGCCCCAATTGTCAATGGCCGTGTTAGCAGCAGCAGCAGCAGTTGCAGTTGTTGCTGCTGCTGCCACATGCTGCAGCAGTTGCTGTTGCTGTTTTCCAATTGATTGAATTACATACAACCTCTCCCTTTGGAGACCTTAAGACACCAACGCAAAGTCAAAGAGTCAGGCCGGTTAGCCAGTTAATTAGTAGCTAGTGCAGCAGCAACTGCTGTCCTTGTGCCAGTTGTGAGTGGGTTGCACTTTATGTGGTAGGTGGGAGGTGGCAGGAGATGCCAGCCAAAGATGGAGCTTCAGATGAAGCTGGAAAATAACCAAGACAATCTGAGGAGAAACCAATCAAAGCCAACTCAAGGATGCTTATTTCAAGATGGTATCTTTCTTACTAGAGTTATTTTTATGCTTTTACAGGGGTTATGTACATAAAATGTTTAAAGACTTTCATTTTAGTTACTTAATAAACCTCAGTTTATCTGAACATTTTTATAAAGTGTTTTATAATTTATTTAAACTGTTCAATGCTCTACTTTTTCTCCTCGTTTCTGGGGCAATAATCCCCATTTCAAGGGGATTCCAAGCTTACTGGCAATTCAGTGAGCTTGTTTCGAGGCTCTTTAACGCTTAATCCTGTCTTGCTTATCGCCTTTTTAAGATATTTTCAGCAACCGTTTTTAATCTTGCTGGCCGCAAATCCTTTAAGCCGCCTCCAATTCGAATGGACAGCAGATACTATATCACCATTAGCATTGCCTGCTCCCAATCACTCACTGTCCAATTGCATAAGCCATCAACCTGGGTCTCTCTCCCATTTTCCAACCTTTACACACTCCCACCCCCCTCTTTTTGCTACCCGTACAGTGTTTACCCGCTGTGGAAAACACGAAAAAACCGCAGCAACCGACGAACTTGTCCTTAAAATGTCAACCAAAGTGTTCATTAATTTGTGCCTCTGTCTCCCTCCTGTTCCATTTTGTTTATGATTGCGGCGTGTATGTGCCATGTGTGTGTGCGAGTGTGTGTGTGCGAATGTGTGTATCTGTGTCTAGTCATTGATCATGAATTCCATGAGCTTGGCACTCGCCGAATGCGTCATTCAAGGCACTTGAGAAAAATCTAGGAACTTTGGAAATGATCAGAAAAATAAGGGAAAATAAAAAGCGGAAAATAAAAGAGCTGAAACTAAGAACACACAACTTTTTACAATAAAAAAGAATTTACAAATAACATTCTTGAGGTTTTTATATAATTTTAAATATGAAGATTCTATTACGACTAGAAAATTTATCATAACTTAGCCAAAAATGGTTCAAATTTAAATCAAAATGCTTTTCTTTGTTTCTTTAGTTTTAATTTATTAATATGCTTATCAAATTCCACATTTGAATATTTTAAATGTATCAAAATTTTTGCAAATTTTTAATCCATATATTAATTTTAATCAATGTGTGTATGCGATACATTTTAAGATAAATCCATGTAAAAAAAAAACCATAACTAAGTCAAAAATCTATTAAATTCAATTCGGAAACCTTTTCTAAGCTAGTTTTTGCAAGCTTAACATATCTGTATACTCCTTTTAAAATTTTGAAAAATTGGAATTTTTGTCAAATTTTGACAATTTTAACGATGTAACCCCTTATACAATTTTCAAAATTTTGAAAAAATTAAATTTTTGTCGGACATAGCTAGATCGATTCGGCTGTTCACGCTGATCAAGTATATATATGATTTATAGGGTCGGAAATTACTCCTTTGCAAATTACAAGCTTCTGATTAACTCGGAATTTGAAAAATTTATAAGAAGACTTCAAAAACCTTCAAAATGCTTTATTTTAATATCATTAAATATTTAAAAAATATATTTAAGAACTAAAATATAATATATTTAATATTTTCTGTATAAATTATCCCATTCTCTTTCTGTATTGCCAAACTTTCCTCTCAGTGCTGCGATATGCATGTGCCACCAGCAATTGGCGACACAATTTTCGCAGTCTTTGGCATGTGCCACCCCTTTCCGACCCCCCCAGCCCCCCAGCCACCCGCCTCGCGTGCCCTCAAAAAGCCGCAGCTCAACCTACGCAGGTAAAATAATCTCTGTGTGTCTCAGCCTCTGTGTGTGTTGCCAGTAGTTTGTAATTCTCATGTAAAAGTCGCACCAAATGCAAAATGGCCCTGCGAGAAAACGGAAAAAAAAAAGAATGAAAAATCGAGCAGAGACAAGAGCGTTGACTGACGGCATGCCACGCCCCCCTCTTGGGTACACCACCCGCCCCCTGTTGCACGGGGCAGCCGGGGCTGCCATCAATCTCAATTGCTTCGCGTTTTCATATGCGACTCTTCGATCATTTTGCAGGCTGACAGAGCAACAGGCAACACAGAGGAACACAACAAGCAACATAGCACAACGGTAATAAAAATTGCAGATTTGTCACAGCAATTGTTTTGTGTTTTTTTTCATATGTATATATTGTTTAGTTTTTTTCCTGTACTGGCCTGATTCTGGTTTACTTTTTGCCTACGTCGTCGTGTGCCTGTAATTACTTTTTATGGTGGGGTGTCTCTTTTTTTATTTATTTATTTCATGAATGCCCCAGTCTTGTTGTTCTCTCTGGATTTATCTCGCCCAAATGTCTACGCGTGATTAAACGCTTAAATTGCCAGATATGATATATCCCAGAGAGCAGCCTGTCGTTGGAGCTGACAGATATGTAGATATATCCACAGATTGGATAGGATTGTCTTCTAGTTTCGAAAGTATCTCAAAGGTAGCAGCAGCAGCAGCAGCAGTTGCTGCCTGTCGATGTTCGGTTGTCTGTTTCATGTCCTCGTTTATTCTCCAATAAATTGTCTTCAACGGACAGAAAGAGAAGTGTGACAAGGACTGAGATACTATAAGGATCAGTTGAGATAGTTTGGGGATATATTTGTATTATAGGAAACAATAAACATCTTGTAGAACTTTTTAATATAACAAATATCTTGATTAAGTGCTTAGTTTTAAAAGTAATCCTTTCATTAAGCTTGTAAATCTAACTTGAATGAATTTCCTATGGTATTAAATACATCATATAAACCTTTTTCCTATCCTATCCATCAATATACTCACTCCAGCTAGACTCTTCTTCATTTCAACACCTAACTTGATAGCTTTATTCAAATGAAGATCGGTGTTGTTCACACGATCGTTACTTCTTGGTTTAAGGTATTTTTCTCGAACATGGCTTAGGACTTTATTTAGCGCCCACATTTTCTCTCAAGCACTCTGACACCCTGTAAAGTCGTCAGTTCACGCTTAATTAGGCGCATTGTACAAATTGCTTTATCGTCTTAAACTAAAAGACATAAAACGCGCTTTGCTGTTGGACCGAAAATGGTCAAAACATGAAATCCTATTAGACAAATTGAAATTACAAATGAGACAGCAACGAAATTAATTTATTAATTAGTCACACTCCATTATGGCTGGACAAAAGGTGATGTTGGTCACAAGAGGGAAAAAGAGGCAAGGGAAAAATCAGACAGTAGCCAGCGACATCAAATGCTGCCCACATGCGTTGGTGTTTTTGGGTCTGGGAAAAGCGCTTGACAGATGGAGTTGAAACTAAACAGAGAGAAAATATATATTCCAACTAAAATTTCAATAAATTTAAGCTAGTATGCCTTGACTTTTGCCATGTATTTTGTATTTTTAAGCCAAGTAAGCCTTGACTTTTCTATACCCTTAGCTGTGCCATCTCAAAATTCAGTTGAACATTGAAATTCGAACTCTTCGGACTGTTACAAATCGGAACAAAAATTCCAAAATAAAAATAAATTTTCCAAATTTTTTTAAGCAAAAAGTAAGCTCGTATCTATATATTTTTTCTAAAGTAAAATACTAACTTTATCTTTGAATCTAGTCACAAATCATGTGCAGCTATCCCTGTTATCCTTGCGCTGCCCTGTGCCCCTGTGGCGGCAGTGGACCTAGTGGCTTCTACGATCCTTGCTTTGGGCCCTACAATGGTCCTTTCAACTCCTGGTGCGGGGCAAGTGGTCCTGGCTTTTGGGGCGGCCGTTGTTGCTAGTTGGAAATCATTATGAAATAGCTGCCAACGAAGTGAAATCAAAGGTAAGACTCTTTACTCTGTTGTAAATGTTTTATATTTACAATAATTTTCATTTAGGCACCTAAAACAGCAAGCTAGAATTGGAAAATATTTATTTGAAAACATAATGGAATTGATGTAGCAGTCGTGAAGGTCGAATTTTGATTCAATAAATTGACCAGCATCGTAGGCCGTTGTTTTTATTTCTATTCCAACAAATTACACACTATTTCTCTCTCTGTGAAGCAGAAACTAAAACCTCAAGTTGTCGAAGCTGTCCAAGCCATTCCTGGTGTGAAAAGGTGCCAGTGTTTTGGGAATCCAATTCGAGGCACGCAACTTGCTGCAACTTGCTGCTTTCTGTGTGGGTTGTTCTGCAGCAGCTGCAAAAGCAGCAACAGCAGCAGCGGCAACAACACCGACGACTGACATAATCATCGATAAGCGATCGCTAATTAAAATTATTAAAACCAGAAATGAGCGGCGGTGGCGGTGGTGGACAATGAAAATGAAAATTTGTGCCATTCTGGAGTCTGGAGGCTATCCCGGCTATCCGGATATCGCAGCTCGATCTGTGGGCTCCATTTTGGCCAGTTCTTGGACAGGTTGTTGGCAAGACAATTGCACTGCCAACAGGCCAAAGGAGTTATCATGGGAAACCCAAAACCCGATGTTTGCTGCCGCCTGCATTTGGTTCATTTCTATTTCGGTTTTTCAGCCTTCATCATTATCAAGTCGACTCACAGAGATAGCCAAACTTGGGCGAGAAGTGAACGTTAGCCACTCGAAATGAGGGAGGCAATTTGGCCAAAATGGCTAGCAGCTAATTAAGACTTTTTCGAGCCTCTCTCTGCTACATGCCGAGCATAATTCATATCTGAAAATCTGGCAGATCTGGTAGGCCTCATATTACTTTACTGTTGTTCCCAAACCAATCGCGGGGTCTCCAGTCGGGTTTTATAGAGTTATACAACTTGGAGAGAAAGTTTCTTCTTTCGCGGGGTCTTTGCATCGAGCTGAAGCTGATGCTGTAGCATTTTGTATTTTTAGCGCCATAAATAAGCGTTTTTATTAATGGCAGCCCATTAACCCCGACTAATTAATTAACAAATCCCAAAATACATATCCACCGGCAAAACAAATAAGCCTGAGGTCCCAAAACATTTAAGACAAGACACCAGCCCAAAACCCAAAGACTGACTGAAGACTGTCTGTGCGTTCGATCGCCGAGATCACGTTGTTCCCATCCAAAAGTCTGCCGCTGGTGATGAGTTTTCAAATGATGCGTATCAATTTTATTTGAATTTTTTTCATATCAAATATTTATGAGCACTCGTTAGATCATTCACGTTTGGAAGCTGAAGAAAATATGAGTTTTGGAATACGTTGCGAGGTGAATTTTTAGTTTTTATAGGAATAGAATAAAGTGCATCTTTAAAAAGAAATATATTCTTGATGGTAACATATTAATTCCCTATGTTAAATATTGTCAAGCTTAAATATTCTTAAAAAATAAAAAACTTGAAATACAAATCAGATTCTATAGTAAACCCTTTTTTATACCGTTTCAGGGTATAACAATTAAAGTCAGAACCTTATTTCGATGTGAAGATGTCATTTCCGACCCTATATTTATATTTTATTAACGTCTTACCTTAATTAAGAAAACTATAATTTTTATGATTGCCACATCCACTTGATCAAAGTCTATCAACCACCAAGCACTAGATTAGTAATCTATATAAAAAACACACAAAAAGAAGAAGAAAACTAAACTTCCTCTAGCTAGGGCCTTGCTTAAGTATAAGACTTGAGAATCGCAGAGGAGAGCGCTCTATGTATCAAATAGTTAAACAAAGCCTATCTTTCAGTCGAAAGCTTGAAACTTAGTGATGGAGTCATTTCCGATCCTATTATTCATATATATTCTTGATCAGCATCAACAGCCGACTCGATCTAGCCATGGTTGCCACATCCACTTGATCAAAGTCTATCAACCACCAAGCACTAAATTAGTAATTTATATAAAAGAAGAAGAAGAAAACTAAACTTCCTCTAGCTAGAGCCTTGCTTAAGTGTTAGACTTGAGAATCGCAGAGGAGAGCGCTCTATGTATCAAATAATTAAGCAAAGCCTATCTTTCAGTCGAAAGCTTGAAACTTAGTGAAGGAGTCATTTCCGATCCTATTATTCATATATATTCTTGATCAGCATCAGCATCAGCTGTTGATCCTGATCAAGAATATATATACTTTATATGGTCGGAGGTGCCTCCTTCACTGCGTTGCAAACTTCTGACTGAAATTATAATACCTTGCAAGGGTATAAAAATGGCATATAAAAATATCAATAATAATAATTTAAAAGAGTCCAAAAATTGTAAGCTTAGTTATGATCGGTATAAATCTCTTCTTGTTTCTTGTATAAATCTTCAAGAGATATCCAAAGATTCCCCAGCTATCAATGATTTCGAACCTAGATCTCATCCAAACCTATGAAGCTTTCATGTATCACATTTTTTTTTGTGTCTCTGTATCTTTTCAACATAAATCTGAAAAACGCCCACGTTTGTCCGAGAGTTCGATTTCCAATGCTGCCTTTTGTTTTGTCCCTCGACTAATTTGCGGTGCGTGGAATTTTTGGGTTTTCGTCTTTCGGGGTTTTTCTTTTCATTGTCAAAGTGTTTGTCGATTTGTGAAAAGCGTTTAATAAATGCTGTAATAAATATATTTGAGAAGAATCCCTCGATCCCCTTCGATCCAAAGAGCCAAAGACAATGGGCCACATTTCAAGTCGGATGGGCTCGATGAAAAAAGCCAGTGAGGAAGGGGTAAAGTAAGTACAAGCATTTATTCAGCATGCGGTGGCTTATAAAAATTCATTGAGGCAATTGTCTGCGTTGCAGATTATCTGCAATATGTTCCCTCCCACAGGTCAAGCGTGCACATCAATTACTTTGGCACAGGCCTTAAGAGATTCGGATTCGGATTTTGGTACCCGGGAATCTAGACAGGAAACGCACACACACATACACATACACTCTGGAAGGCAGAAAAGAAAATAAAATAAAATACACACACACACACACCATACAGCACTTTGTTGACCTCTCAATTTAACGCTTATAATGCCAGGAAATGCCAACTTTAAGCAAGACACCAAAGGAGAAGTGCCTGAAGATGAGGCTGCTAGCAGACAAGGTAAATACACCGAAAAAAAATATTATAAAGCTTGGAAAAGGTTAAATAAAATATATAATTTTGATTATGAAAAATATATCAGCAGTATATTTGTCATATCTTATCTTTTCCATATTCTACTTATCGTTTTTTAAGGTTTCAAGATTATTTTCTTCAAGGGTAATATATTATTTCTTCTTCTTATATTTAATTTGGGATCGGGAGCCATGTCTAAATAGTTATATACTTTATGTTGTTAAAAAAATTAATTTCCAGATATATAAAACCAGTTTTAATTAGTTTTATATTAAATTTTTTTTTCAAAAAATACATTTTTCTCTGTGTAAATATTATCCACAAAATGCCTGCTCGTTGTCTATGGAGAGTCACTTGATCTCGGCGTTGATTGTGCGTTGATTGTTTTATTATGAAGATGTCGATAGTAGGGTTAGACCCGCAGTTATGGCTATATTATTAAGCTAATCAAATGCAATCCACTCGCGAATCTTTGATGAGTTTGTCAACAACAACAATTGGGGAAAGCTTTCCCGACACCGGCTGACCTGTCAACTCTTGATGGGATGATCACCTGAGGAATGCCTGACACTCGTTTCCATCTTCATTACCAATGTGCAGTTTGGATTTGCAATTGCCTGTGGGCCACACATATCTAATTAGCCGATCCATTAACGTGGCCCAGGCCATGTTGACACCACAGCGCCAAACAAACGGCCATTAGGCGACTGTCAATGCTTTTATTATAACTTTTTATAATTCTCGTTGCATTTTCCACCAACCTCTCTTTCTCTCTCTCGATATGTGTGTGCTGGCTGCAACATTTCATTAATCGAGTCACGACATTAGACATTCAACAGGCCCAAAAAGCAGGCAGCTGGAGAGCTGGTGGCTTTGCCTTTTGGCCTGGATACACTCAGCGAAAAGTCAACCAAAGTCAAGGGATAATTTGCTAACTTATTGAAGAAATAATTGCAATCGGAAAAAAGGTTGTATATTTATAAGAAATTCTTGATTGAAAGCAGATCAGTAAAATATGATCATTAATTTAGTAATTTTAAACATAAATATTCTTGATTAATAAATATAATCTTAACGTGTTTATAAGCTACATTTATTTCAAAAGAAAGTTTGAATTTTCTAATCCTGAAAACATTTTTCGAGAGCCTTAAAATAAACCTAATTTTCCTACATACATTTTAACACATTATATTTTTAATAAATATTTTCTACCCTCGTTTTTTTCAGTGCCTTTGTATGGTACTTTGTAGCTAAACATTTTTCCTAGCCAGCCAAAAATTGCTTTGACAACTTTATCGCTGCACAGCATCGACAACGGGGCGACGTCAAAGCCTTTTGCTGACAGCTTCGAGGGGCCAGGGGGGTGGGAGAGTTAAAATTCACAAGGGGGGGAGGGGGAGGAAAATATCGAAACATTAAACATTTCCCAGCTGATAAACTGTCAACTGATCAGGGCCCTGGGCCCCACAAAGGAATCTAAATTAAATCAAATAATCGCTATGACGGATTGAAGCTGCAAACAAAAGACTTAAGCAACGAACTTGCCGAAAATGAAAAAACTTAAAATCGCGGCCACACACGTAAAACGTTTGCCTGGGCTAATGGATATACCTATATATAGATAACATATCCGCAACTTTGTATATATATTTATATATATATCGGGGCTGCATATTAATTGCAATATCAATGCCCTGACTACCGTGGCCAATTGTTGTTGTTTGCTTATGAGTCTGAGGTTGTTGCTTGCCATTTGCTGCTGTTGCCTCGTTAGCGCTCAAGTTTAGTTGAAAATGTTGAGTTTCTCTATGTTTAGCAATAAAATCTTAAATACTCTATTAAATACTGAGAAAGAGATAATAAGGAAAGACAGTGAGTGAGTGAAAGAGAATATTGCCTGTTGAAATTTTAATTCATATAAATAAGGAAACTTTAAAAGGTGTTTAAATTGAGAGTTTAATTAAAATGGTAATT